ATTTTATTAACTGTAGCTAGATTGATTCCTAATGGATGGAGAACTGCACTAATGCTAACAGCTACCATTTCCTGTAATCCTCCTGTAAAGAGTGCCGGGTACTCTGCCAAGCTCTCTGATGTATCATGTCTGTCTACCTTCACAAGAACCTGATGGGGCAGGTACTACAATTATGACCATTTAAAAGCGGAGGGAAGTGAGGTCTGGAGAAACCACAAAGCTAATTAGAGGCAGAGTTGAGGCTAGAACCCGGGTCCATGGAACACCAAAGTCCTTGCTGCATTCTGGGGCCTCCCCAAGGTCAGGCCCCACCTTGGTTGTACCAAATGCTAAGTGGAGAACCTTAGACACATTGCTTACCCCCTCGAAAGCTCAGTTTCCTCACCTGTAAAGAGTGTGATGAGGTGCCGATAATGTGAAAGCACACTGTAAACTGAAAGTGTCAAGCATTTCTTAGACATTATACACAGTGTTTATTTCCCTGGCTGGAATACATGGAATGTGAGAGATCAAGTTACAAAGGTTGTTTGGGCTGAAATGCCCTTGGTTTCTGTTGTACCTGGCACCAAACACAATGACTGAGATTAGCATGACCTTCCCCTGCCCACCTCCTTCCTTTTCTTCCACACTCCCAGAAGCAATTAGAACATTTAAAGAGCTGGCAGTGATATTTGATATACAGTGACTTGATTTGGAATCAAACCTCTTGAAGAAAGGAATGACTCTGCAGGACCATCACCAAAGGTGGGATTTGGGAAAATGCCTCTGAAAGGTGCTCAGGTGTGTCAGCATGGGTCTGAACACCTACTGATCTGCCGCAGCCCAGACAGGCCACCTGACGGCATTCTCCATCTCACACTCCTTGGCACAACTTGCATTCATCTATAAACTCACTACTGTAGTGCTTGAGCCAAGGACCAGGCATCCCAGGCATGAGACAGCAAGGGGTTCATCAGCATTTCAATATCCTTGTCTGCATATCAGTCGCAGCTGACCCCGAACACTGGAGGGTCCAATCCCGGAGCAGGGCCTCACTTACTCACAATAATGAAGGAAGTTAAAAACTACCTTCGTGTATACACTGGCCCTAAGGTACTGATCTGAGCCACAGACGCACAAGTGAGGCCCACAGGGGAAGCAGCATAACACACTGGTTAAGAATTCGGGCATGAATCTTGACTCTTAAGTGCCACATGGTCTTGAGTGAATCACACACCCCTGAAACCGTTCC